ATGCACGCAGTGTCGCGCCCAGGGCTCTGAAAGCAGCCAGCGGACACGCTTTCTTGCCTGTCTTTTCAGGTTTTGGGGCTCTTGGCTACACGGATGTGCCTCCCTCCCTTGGCATGATGGGTTTCTTTTTGGCGTCTGTTGGATTTGTGTTCTTTTCCGTGTTATATGTACAACAAGGGCTTTCTTCTCAAGGTAAGTCCGTTGCATGTAGTGTATATGTGATGCTGTGTGTGTGTGTGTGTGTGTGTGTGTGTGTGTGTGTGTGTGTGTGTGTGTGTGTGTGTGTGTGTGTGTACCAACTAGAAGAATGGAGCTGTCTAGCTTGAGAGTGGCTCAAACGAAGCCAACAGTGGGTTTCGGTAGTGTTTGGCTTGGCTTTTTTTTTCCTTCAAAGTTTATTAAATCGCAAGCTAGCCAGGTTTCAAAGAAAATCTTGTAGACGCCAGACTAGCAGTGGCATGATCACATACACAGATACACAGGTGTGTGTGTGTGTGTGTGTGTGTGTGTGTGTGTGTGTGTGTGGGTGGGTGTGTGTGGTGATGAACAGGGCAACCACTCATGCACATACTGTTATTACCAATATAGAGCTGCTGGTGGGAAGGGGCTCTCTCTGCCAGTATTCGCTGTAGGAAGGAAGCTTTAGTCCCCTTCTCTGGTCCCTGTGACTTCTTCCCCTTGTGTGTTTACCAGAGAACCCACAAGGAGGTACTAATTGCATCATAAGCAGCAGCTGCCTGCTGGGCCCGGTTGTTCAGGACTTTGCAGGCTGCAGTGGTTGCTTCAGCACCATGAGCAGACCTCAGTTTTTACCTTCTGAAGACTGCATCACTTCTGCAAGCAGAAATGCCCCCCACTCCGCTGGCCGATGTGAGCAGAAAACCCTATTCAAATAGGCTGCCTTCTGATAGTGTCCTTTTCCTTGAAACATAATCAGTGCCCTTTGGCATTTCATAAAATAGTGAAAAGAGACAGCCAGAACCACCCTCTTTCAGAAATGAGGAGAAAGTAGCTGTAACCATTCTTGCCATCCTTTCAACGACCCTCCTTTCATATGTGTGCCTTATGGTTGTGCCCTTCTATCAGCCACAAATAGAAAGGCTCCTTCTAGAGAGCCATCAGCTCTTTGCAAAGTGCCCCTTAAACAGGCTAAGAACAAGCATCTAGTTAGCAAAAAAAAAAAAAAAAAAAAAAAAAAAACATCATCCCATATTAAAGGAATGCCTCTAAGGAGGAGGGGGCATTTTATTTTTATGACTTTCACATGGATCTTTTAATCTTACAAGCTGGCAGTGTCAAGGTTAGCAAAAGGGCTAGATGGAGTCTCTGTAGTGTCTTTCAAATAATCTTTGATCTGAACTAAGCATGGATGTATGATTTTTATATCCCCTGACATATGTCAGTTTATAATGGCTTGAAGGGAACAAATGTGAAGGTTGACTTACAGAGATGAAACATATGCTTCTTAGGTAGTGTCCAACTTGATTCACTGCTTGGGCTCCAGAACAAAATTGCTGACCACTATTTTGACAGATTAGAATGTTTTTGACGTATACTTACAGTCCATTTCTAGCATGAAACATCCTGGTTAGTCATAGATGGTTTAGAAACTTAAGAATCCAGAAGCATTCTTGTATAGCAACTGGACAGACCGTCTAAATTGCACCTTCGTGGATCTCTCAGTAAGTTTTAGGCAATGCTGCAATCTGGCAAAAGATGCTTGGATGTAACTCTGGGCAGCTGGGCTAGCAGAGAGAGCTATTGGTAAGCTCATTAACCTTTCCATTATCTGGACTTGATGAACAACAAAGTGATGTAGGCATGATATTAAGAACAAGGCACGCAGAGGCAAAGCAATGGGGATAGGGAGCCCTGCAGAGATGCCATAGGAGTTGCTATTGCTGTTTTTATTTTCTCCTTTCAAGGCCAAACAAACAAAAAAACTTGCATTGAGTTCTCCAGGAAAGATACATTGGCAAAGCTGGTGTATATAGACACACCAAAATGATGCATTTCTGTCTTGCAGCAAAATTTACCGAGTTTCCACGGAACGTGACTGCAACCGAGGGACAAAATGTGGAAATGTCCTGTGCTTTCCAAAGTGGCTCTGCTTCAGTGTACCTGGAGATCCAGTGGTGGTTCCTTCGGGGACCAGAGGACCTGGAGCATGGGACCGAGGCAGCCAGCTCTCAGGTAGCCATGGCTTATAGCTCACAGAGCCCTTGCAGGTCACTTTCTTCGTTCTTGCATGTCTAATCAGCGCCAGGGCCCAGGGTACTGCCCATGTGTCCACGGGAACCTATGCTGTTCTATGAGAGTGAGAATGGCCGAATTTGTCCTGGTTACAGTAAGTTAAGAGCACCTAGGAAGTCACACTAGCAGAGACATTCGCGATTTAGGCTGGAATTAACCAGCTCTTAATACCCAGTCTTGTGGAGCTGTCCAAACTGGCTATGCATCTCTTTTTACAGACCAGGGCCCCCTCCTCCCCAGCCTTCCTTCTGTTTCCCCAATATCAAGGATGAGGACAGTCATTCCTCCTCTAGGTTAGTTCTCTTTCCCTCCCTCTCTCTCTCTCTCTCTCTCTCTCTCTCTCTCTCTTCCCTTCCCTCTCCCTCCCTTCCACCCCCCACACACACAGAGGAGGAGGGCAGAGAAGGAGAGGAGGGGCGGGAGGAGGGAAACAGGGAGGGAGAGAGGGGGGAGAAATATGGGGAGAGGGATAGATAGGGGTAGGCGGCAGAAAAGCAGGGAGAGGCCCTGGACCGGAGACGAGTGTAGAACAGGAGATGAGGAAACTAGAGAAAACAAGAGAATGAATGAAAACATAAAGAAGCTGAAAGAGTAGCGCCTTAAGAGCGGGAAAGGGAGACCCACGAAGCAAAAGAGGACTCGGACATGAGACCTAGAGGACGAGAAAATCTGTTGAAGAGAACCTAGGGGCTGGTCAGCAGCGAGGGCAAAGATGCAGAAATTTGTCCGGAAAACTTCCAGCCACACTCCTGTTCTCGCCTGGGTTTGCGTCTGCCCCTATCCTTCTCCTAGCCCGCAAGCAGGGCAGACTGAGCTGAGAGGAGAAAACCTAGACTCGCGGCTGCTCTAGCCAGGGGCCAGCCAGGGGGAGCACGGCCTGCAGGGGTTCAGGGACCACAGGAACTCTCCAGGGTGTAGCTAGGATACTGGAGACTGCAGGGACCTCAGGGACGCTCGGAAACAACGGGGACCGTGGCGGCCACAGGAATGCTTGGGGACCACAGGGAATCTCCAGGTTGTCGCTTGGACAGAGGGGACAAGAGGGACCTTTGGCATTCTCGAGGAAAGCCGGGATTGCAATCATGCTCAGGGAAGACATGGAGACCCCAGGGACTGCTTGGAATCCGACCAGGGGAGAAGGGGACTTCAGAGATGCTCCAGGGAGGAGCGAGGGAGGCGGTCCAGCCTAGCCTCAGAACTGAGTGCTGTAGGGACCTCGGTCGTCCTTTTGTCTCTTAAATTGCCTTTGCTGAAGCGTTTCAAGACCAGAAGGCTGGGATCTCTCCGAGACGTTGAGCTGCTGCGGTGGCGGGCCTGGGACTGTAGGATTCCGGAGAGGCTGAGCATTTGCACTCTTCTCCTACAGGTGGAGCTCTTACCCGACAGAGACCCGGACAACGATGGGACCAAGATAAGTGTGAGTATCACAGGGACGAGAGACAGGGGGCGCATGCTTTAGTAAAGGGCCAAGAAAGCCCAAGGTGAACATTGGTAGAAAACAGATTTTAGATTTAAGACTTTTTAAGTCATTGGGCCTGAAAAGGTAATTTTGTAAATTCAGGATGAGAGACAGTTGTCTTTTTTTTTAACCTCATTAAATACTTAAAAATTAAGCCAAATCTAGAGTCCATAAATAAAATTGAATTTTTTAATGATGTAAATAATTACAGACTGGCTAGAGTACTAGTTTTCTAGCTAATGTGATTATTGTGCTGTTTTTCTTAATCTTTTTTCACAGTCACCTAAGTTTACCAATGAAGGTCTGTAATACTTCAATATTAATAATTTTAATAATTCAAAGTAATGGGAGTACAACTCTTAATAGAAAATAGAAATCTCAGGAAAACAGAAATGAAACCATCTGATAAGATTTTGAAATATATGAAAGAATATGACTCAATTTGGATATCATTCATAGTTCATATCAAGTATTTATAAACCTAGTATTCAAATAAATCACAAAAATATGAAACCAAAGTAGATGTAAGTCTACACTTGTTTTTAGGCCAGACTGATCTACTGACAATATAAAGATGAGGCTAATTTGTGATAATTACAATGGCCATGGCTGCTTCATCATCCTTCATTTCTGTATGTATAAAATCAATTAAATCTTTAAACTTGACAGATTTATGTGATCTTTCAGTCTGTCAATCATGGATTAACATATGATATATACCAAATTTAACTGGTGCAATTATATATATATATATATATATATATATATATATATATATATGTCATCTGTTGTATGGGCTACATAGTATAATGTACATTAGACATGTGAGGTTATTGTTGATGTGGGATAAAATTACTAGAATAAATAAGGTTGATCTAAGTTTTGAAAATCAAATCAGTGTTCAATTAATAGCATCATGTTTGTATGATGGCATGGACATATACAATGAGCCTTGATTTCAGATACTATTTCTCTGTAGCCTGAGCCCTGCTACCCTCTGTTAATAGGCAACTGAGAAGAAAATATTACTATCCAAGTCTATTAACAATATCTTTGGTAAAGGGCACCTCCTTTTAAATTGTTATGACCAATAGTTTTGTTTTTTATTCCCCCTTTGGCCCTGGATTTAAGGGAGTGGTCTTGTAGCCATACACAAGGAAAGTCTATCCAGAAATGAACTCCTTATTCAATGTTTCATTCAGCCGAGTTAACCAGGCAGAGGCCAATCCCGTGTTGAAAAAGTAACAGGATCTGGAAAGTGAGGACAGCGTGGCCACTCTGACACTGCTTAAATTGAGTTTGTTTCCCCTCAAGTATGTGGACGAGACTGTTTGTAGAACAGGATGAATATGGCCTTTAATCCCAACATTAGCAAATTTAAGATATTAAAGATGACATCCTTTGACGAGAAACTTTGTTTTTCACCTGCAATTTTTCAGACAGTGAAAGTCCAAGGCAATGACATCTCCCACAAGCTTCAGATTTCCAAAGTGAGGAAAAAGGATGAAGGCTTATATGAGTGCAGGGTGACTGATGCCAACTATGGGGAGCTACAGGAGCACAAGGCCCAGGCCTACCTGAAAGTCAATGCCAACAGCCATGCTCGGAGGATGCAGGCATTTGAAGCCTCACCCATGTGGCTACAAGACATGAAGCCTCGAAAGAATGTGTCCTCAGTGGTTCCCAGCAGCATCCACAGCTCTGCCAACCAACGAACGCACTCCACCTCCAGCCCTCAAGCGGTAGCCAAAATCCCCAAACAAAGTCCGCAATCAGGTATGGAAACCCATTTTGAGCCTTTCATTTTACCATTCACAAACCTCCCACCAAACGGTCAGTTGAATAGCATAGACAGATTAATGTTAGACGGCTTTTCAAATAGGAGATGGAGTTCAATTGAAACGAGGAGATGTGAGCTATTGAGAGCAGGAGACTGGACGTTCAGGATGAGTTTGCTCCATTAGCCCCTGGCACTGTTTCATATCCAGGGATCTGAGAGCTGGACTCTTTTATTCGCCCCCTTCTTTCTGTATTTACACATTATAAGAACAATAAATCATGTAATGTTGGTTACATTATAAATGCATGTTCATTTGCTCTACAGATTTATGTATCAATAATGACCCAAATTAAGAGGCTTCCACTTAATCAAAATGGAAATGAAAAAGACTCATCATAATCACCCATATATTTAGTGACCTATGGCTTTACACAGAGCTATTCTCCAAGGGCTTTTGATTTTGAAGGAGAAACTTCAGCTGCCTGTGATGAAATTGATGGTGATAATGGCAGGAAGTGAGGGGGAGAGAGAGGGAGTAAGTGGTGCAGAGAGAAGGCAGCTCCTACAGATGTGCCATGGATGCCAGTTTGGAAGCTTAGTCACACATATCTCGAGTCAGCTGTGCAAGTTAAAGTAATTGTGACTGGTGTTAATTTTCACAATCATTCCACCAATGGAAACTCTCTGAACTTCTAATCTTGATGTGGGTAGGATCTAGGCTGCCTGGATTGAGCAGTTGTGCACAAGACCTATTTTCTCAAATGCTTTGCCTAACATGGAATTAGAGGAACATCTGTGCAAGCACATATTTGATATACGTCGAATCACTTGATGCAGTGATTTATTGTTCTTTTTTTTTTTTTTTTACGTGAAATTTTTCAGACAGGGCAGTTGAAGATAATACTATCCAGCAAAAGCTTCGGATTTCTGAAGTGAGGCAGAGGGGTGAGGGTCTGTAAAAGTGCAGGGTGTCTGGCGGTAATTATAGGAGATTGAGCAACACAGATCCAGGCCTACTGGAAAGTCATTGGCAATAGCCAATGCACACCTCTAAATCCCTGCTTGTTAACAATATGTTTTAAAAAATTGATGTGCTATGTCTGGGATTATAGTACAGTAGTATAGCACTTGATTAGTTTGTATGAAACCCTGGATTCTATCTTCAGTATCATAGAAAAAATCATCCAATCAATAAAAACTAATAAAATAATATATGCCAACATGCATTTCCTATTTATGCTTTTTGTTTGAATAGCTGTGATGTAAATTCTGCAGGATGCCTGGCTAGGGTCTTGTGCATTTCCATTGTTTTAAATGCTGATGAGACTTCCTGTTTTAGTCGTGATAAACATATTGGTCTGCTAAGTGATGACTCAGCCTTTCTGAAGTCCAGTTTTTGTGGCGTTGTTTTATTGCATGTTATCTCCTTTGCTTTTCAAATTCAAAAACAAAGCCAGTAGAGCTAATAATGTTTTGTTGTTGTTGTATTTGGGAGTACACAAATGACAATATATCAGTTACAAGTTTTAATTATTGTTAAAACTTAATGCCTCTTAAGTTTGGGACCCTTTCATCTTCTTTTACATTGTAATACCAAGAGACTAAAACTACCCGTAGAATTACAGAGTGTTCTCTGCATTCAATTTATAACATAATTAGTGAGAACTCTGAACCCTGAGTACTTAATAGTGTACATAGATTATTCCAAGCTAGTCACCAAAAATCCATCTATGAGATAGTCAAATGGAGCAGTTAGTCCCTGTGAATGACTAAAGAGAATGAAGTGTTCTGTTTCTTAAATACCTTATCCACCTTATGATATAAAATAATATACTTTAAACATATCTACTTTATTTTGCTATGTCTCCTAGAGCTGTGATGGAGACTAAATTTTCAAGTAAAATTACTGCTCACTTTGCACCTTCCTATCAGCCTTCTTCTTAGGCACAAAATTGTTTTTTTCAGAAAAAGTTAAAGAAGAGAAGGATGTTGTCCCTGGAAACCTCCATCCACTAAAAGCTCTGGGCACTGCCCTCTTCCTCGTTGTAGTAAAGACAAACATAAAATATTTCAAAATGTCAATGTTCTTTTTACTCCCAGACAATATTGGAAAATCTTTCATGTACTTTTATTAACATTCTCTAACGTCTCCTTCAGCAATTAATGTTTCCCAACCACTCTAGTATGTTGTGTAAGTTTTATGCTTTTAAGATCATTGCATATAATACAGTAATTGGGATGATACATATAATTGTATATCACATATGTGTGATACCCATATCCCTGTTGATAATAGAACTTATTTCATTTCCTCAATTTTTATTCACATATTTACCTTTCATCTCTTAAAGTCACAACAAACACATGAGCACAAAAATGAAAGCACACTTCCTCACTCTACAGGGTTTGTTCAGTTTTCCATTAAAAAGGATAGTTTTTATGGTGAAGTAATAAAAATTAAAATCTTGCTCTGATCAGCAAAGGGCTATGCTAGCCTTTCATATTTTATCAGTTGATACAAGGAGGCCTAACATATATGGCACTGTTAACTTGTGCTACAATATTAACCTGTGCTATAACAAACTAATTTATTTAGCCCTTAATCTTTATTACACTCTTTGGCTTAATTGACTAGATTCACAAACTCAACACTAAATTCAAACAATTTTCCTGTCAATTAATTTCTATATCTTTATGAAAGAAGCATATTAACTGAAAATAACTATATAAAATTTTCAAATTGTCTTAAAAATAAATTAGCTCTAAAGTAAAATTAAATGAAAAGGAAGAGGGGAAAAATAACCCGTGATATTCCATATGCAACCAGATGCAGGTTTGATAATAATTTAGTGTGGCTAGTCCTGGTTTATTTTCTCAAAACGTCCCTCAACGCTAGTGACTAGATGCTGTCCTTTCTTGCTTGTATTTTCTTTCTCTTTATATGTTATAAATGATGAATAATTACAAGTCCATAATTTTAATGTTATTTACATTTTATTTTCATTTTATAATCAGCAATTAGAACTGAAATAATAAATAAAATATAATGCAAACCAATAAACAAAACTTTCTTACAAAATTTTAATCTTAAGTTCTTTAGAGACCTCTCCAGTTCTGTGTACCCAGGGCAGAATAGTTCATATCAAACCCATTAGATTTTTGTTCTGTTCTGTCCTATTTTTATTGTACACAAAGCTTGGGAAGAAAAATAAATGCTATCAAATATAATACAGACACAATCAAAGCATGGACTTAGAAGTTAAAGAAATGTTTTACAAATGTTCTAGGAGGAGGAAGCCTTCTTCCTTTGCATCTGAATCAACAAAGGCTCTCTGGGAGAAGAGCTCAATAGCAGGGGGAGGTAGGCTTTACATCTTCACATCAGGGAAGTGAAGAAACACCTCTCTGAAAGGAGAATGGGGGGACCAGGATGGGAAATCCAGAGCCTCTGTTGGGGTAGAATGATTTAGCTCCATGTTCCCGAAAGTTGAAAACTTACTCTAGTTTCTTCATCCCTCCACCATATCCCTGAATAATCAAATGAACTAACTTTGCTTTGCTTTTGCTCCCTGTCTCCTCCATTCCTCACTCTTCCCCATTCAGAAGCTAAACTTTACAGTGACTAAGTCAGATTGCCTCATTTCTACTGTTTCCTTCTCTTTCACTGATCATTTCAAGCCCCCTGACAAACAGTCAAATAAAACCAACAGGAAGCGATGCCCTGCCTGTCTGTTCTCACTGGGCAGAGCCAGATCTCTGTGAGTGTTTGCCCAGCTAATACCAGTTCCTCCAAGAAGGGCAGTGTTATGCTCCATCTTCCTCTCTGACCTGAGTCCCATGGAGTATTGCTTCTTTGTTAATGCTACTGCTGATGTGTTCTGAGAAGTTACTGATATCTACTCAACATTACTTTGTAACTCATCCTTTCCAACATCTGGGCAGCACTGGTTTCCAACCATTTCTGACATTCTGACCTCTCTTGAATGCAGAGACTGATTCCCTGTTCCTTGCCTCTTTGCTTTATTTTCCCCTTTGCATCAGTTCCTTTTATAAGGCTATTCTCATTCATAACTTGTCTTTATCCTGTAGTTTTGACTTTTAATTTTCCTTCGAAAATGTTTCCATTCACATTTCTCCTTCTGATTACTTTCAGGAGACCCAGACTAGTGTTCATAGTTGTCTCCTAAACATCTCTGAATGTATGTCTTCAAAGCCTTATGGCAAATATAAGCTAGGGCACATTTGTTGATTCTGCACTGCTGAGAAGTAGAGTCTGTGTTTCTTCAGCTGCAGTTTCAGTTGGCCTGGAACTGTATGACTAATAAAGTTTGAGGAAGTTATGCTATTCCAATTCCAGGACTTACGAGGACTCATAGCCTCTATCCCCATCTCTTGGAGGCCAATCACTATGAGGAAGCCATCTTAAACACCAATCATCCCCAGCCAGCATCTAACCTCAGCCCCATTCTGTCTCCTGACAAGCACTGTCCAGCTCAGCCCAGGCATCATACAGATTGGGTATTTTCTTCTAGACTGGACATGGGGGTGTTTCCTTCACAGAAGTAGATACCCATCTAGGTCACAGGAACTCAGAAGTTCAGAGCTCTCTGTTATTATCTGAGCTTATTCACTAAAAAAGAAATGTTCTTCCTCCTGTTTCATAATGATAGCTCCTGTGAAAATTTTGGAAATGTCTTATTGCTCCCTCTTTCAGTTGCCAGTTCAATTAGTCATTTTATCCCAGTAATTTTTTATTTTATATTTTACTTCATTAATACAATGTTATTTTATTTATTTTTATTTTTAAAACAATCTTATTTTATATACCAATCCCAGTTCCCTTTTCCTCTTGTCCTCCCACTCCACCCACCTGGCATCCATTCCTCACTGAGTATGAGACCTCCCATGGGGAAACATCAAAGTCTGTCACAAGGCCCTTCACCCTGTATCGAGACAGAGAGAGGTATCCCTCCATAGGAAATAGGCTCCAAAAAGC